GAATCAAGCCTCACGTCTATATCAGCTTCCATCGCTACGTCGCTGAACTTGCACTCTAAGTAGTCTGTCTTAGTCCTGCTCAACCTGAAACCCTTAGACTCTAAGGTTTGTCTCTAAACCTCTAACTTGTCGTTTACACTACCTCGCATCTCATCAATCAGCAATATGTCGTTAGCGAATAACTTACACCATGGTACTTCCCTTTGAATATGATGCGTTAGCGTCTCGCCAAAGCAAATAAGGATGGGCTGAGCGCAGATCCTTGGTGCAACCCCATCCCAACAAAAAAATGTTTTGAGTCTCTTCCCTTTGTCCTCACCTGAGTCTTAGATCCATCATACATGTCCTTAATCACTCTAATATATGCTACATGGACACCTCTAGCCTCCAAGGATCGCCAAAAAACCTCCCTAGGAACCTTGTCGTGCACTTTCTCTAGGTCAATAAAGCAAATCTTTCTTCCTATCCCTGTACTGTTCCATCAACCTCCTAACAAGATGGATGGCTTTTCATAGTCGAAAGTCCCAACATGAAGCCTAACCGGTTCTCAAAAATAGACAACGTCCTCTAACCCTCGTCACCCTCTCCCAAACTTTCATAGTGTGACTAAGTAACTTGATACCCCTATAATTGTTGTAATTTTGGATATCACCTTTTATTGTACAATGCGATCATCGTACTCCACCTCTACTCCTCGGGCAACTTCTTCATCCTAAAAATAGCGTTAAATGGCCGAGTAGCCACTTCAATCCAGCCTTACCCGCATACCTCCAGAATTCAGCATGGATCTCATCTGGCCCATTCGCTCTGCCCCCTACTCATCTTACGCACCACCCTCGCAACCTCCTCAAAACTAAAGCGCCTACAATACCTAAAATCACAACGACTCTTGGAGTGCTCCAAATCGTCCAGCATGATGTTCCTATCCCCCTCTTCGTTCAAGAGTTCATGAAAGTATGTCTGCTACCTTCGCTTGATTTGTGCTTCTTCTATTATAACTCTACCATCCTCATCTTTGATGCACCTCACTTGGTCTAGATCATGAGCCTATAATTTATAGTAATTGACCATCTTGCCTTCTCTATATATTTTCAACAATATTTCAATTGATCTCTTTAATATTTACTTCTTTTTGACTTACTATGTCCTTCGGAGACATCCAATGATATTGGTACTTTCTTTTTAACTTGATCACGTGGTTAACATCAAAATTTGATTTGGACTTTTATGAAGCAGGCTTGAGTAACTATATTGGGCATTCGCTCAAAATTTGTTAAGTCCATATGACCTAAATGGATCAGACATGTAAAAATAGCACGGTATAGCCAGTTTTCAGCCTGGTCATTCAAAAATAGCCAGCATTTACGAAGTCAATGAAAAATAGCCACTATTTTGCTGTAACAAAGACCGGTCCAGCATAATATACTGGAGGGTACACCTGTATATGAACTCCTGCATATTATGTTGGACCGGTATACTTTGCTGACTCCAGTATAATATACTGGAGACTGGAGCATCGGTGCTCCAAACTCCAGTATATTATACTAGACAATTATACTTGCTGGAACTCCAGTATATTATGCTAGAATTCTAGTATACTTATGCTGGAACTCCATCATATTATGCTGGAATTCCAGCATAATATGATGGAGTTCCAGCATAAGTATACTAGAATTCTAGCATAATATACTGGAGTTCCAGCAAGTATAATTGTCTAGTATAATATACTGGAGACTGGAGCATCGGTGCTCCAAACTCCAGTATATTATACTAGACAATTATACTTGCTGGAACTCCAGTATATTATGCTAGAATTCTAGTATACTTATGCTGGAACTCCATCATATTATGCTGGAATTCCAGCATACTTATCCTGGAACTCCAGTATAATATGCTGGCGTATTTTTCAGGTTTTGAATAGTATTTTCTTTCAAATTTATCTTTATATAAAAAGTGGTTAAATTTCGATTACTTTTGAAACTGGGTTATTTTTGAACAACCAGATGTAAATCTGACTATTTTTGAATTTCTCTCATCAAACATGGCCAACATAGTAATAGTGTGAGCTAGCCATTTTTCACTTTTGTAATTGTAAAATAATCATTATTATAGAGTTTCAAATTAGGAGGTAAAACTCCATGACAATGTAATTAGAATTTCACTTGTGTATTTGGAAGTTCATGATAGTGGCTATTCTTTCAATTACAAAAACTAAAAGTGGCTATTTGTGAATTTTATCCCACTACAACTTGGATTCGGGTGAGTAAACAAACAATCCTCAAAGTGGATGGTCTTGAAATTTGTGAAAAGAGGATGGGCTAGCCAATTTTTAGACTGTAATCTAAAAGTAGTCAACATTTGCAAAGTCATTGAAAAACTTCCTATCTTATTCGGAGATAAAATCTGGACAAAAACGCCCTATCTGAAACATGAAAAGTTCAAGCATAATATGCTAGATTATGGAGCTCATGTGTATAAACTTACAATATATTATGTTAGAACTCCAGCACATTATGCTGGAATCTCATATGTAAAAAATTCAAACTCTAACAAATTATGGTCAAATTTTGGCGAATTTTTAAGGATGTTTTTGTTCAGATTTTATCTTTACACGAAAAAGTGATAAAAAAATTGTGATTGTATTTCAATTATCAGTTATAAATCATGCTATTTCTGATTTTTTTTCCTTGAATTTTTGTCCTTGCTTGTCCCACGAGCTATTTAAGTATTATCCATTGTTTGTCCTATGGACAACACTTTTAATTTTTGATCTTAAAATTCTGTCTATGGAACACAACGGAGATCAAAAGTTGAATATAATCCAAAAAGTATCATATTTCTGCCATGAATTCAATTTTCCTTATGTTCATGGTCACTCAAGCTCAATCCAATTAATCAAAAATCCAAATTGTTCCTACACTCGGAAAACAAAAATCCTTACGCAATAGTGGTGGCTTTCACTACTACGACCTACCGTAAAAAGTTCATAAGAATTTATACTCGATAATTAGAGTGTTTTCCTCAACATCTCATATGAATTTTAAATAGAGTTTAATGTATATTTCAGATAATTAGGATTATTACTGTACAACAGATAATTTATCTTATTTTTAAAATTATAATTTTTACTTTTTATGGAGAATTATCTATAGTATATTTCTTGATTAACTGAATATTGTAAAGAAAAAAAATTTAAATTAGTAGATATAAGTAAAACTTTTTAAATATTTAATTCTACATTCACAACTGCATAAATTATTGTATCCTAAAAAAATTCGCAAATGTATTGATGATAGGCTAGAATTACGTATTTTAGTCGATTATTACACTCTAATTTACTGCACTTTAGTTGAGTTTACGCTTTAATCGCTAATGTTTTGCACTAAAGATGTGTTTTATGCCTTGTAGGAGTGATTCCAAGCTATATAGATGTTATGGAATGAATTCAAGTGATTTGGAGCTTTGAAGTCTGAGTAAAAGCCCAAGGAATTAAGTCGGGATCGTGTCAGGGGTCAACTTTGATAGTTAAGAATAAACGAAGACTCGAGAGAGCATATTGTGTACTGTCTAGTAAAATACACATAACTCTTTACTCGGAACTCTAATTTGGATCCACAAAATATGGTTGGAAACCTAACTCAAAGCGCTACAACTTTCATGTTTTACGTTTTTCCAAATTCTAAACGGAACAGGGCAAAACGCGCGAGATTTGAGCCAACACGAATGAAACCGGGAAAAGGGCCAGTTGGGCGCCACAGGCAGTGTCTGGCGCCACCTGTGGCGCCAAAAACAGTATGCACAAATAATGGGGCGTCGTGGAGGGCGCCTGGCGCCGGGCTGGGCGCTGGTGACGTGAAATGTGTCCTATTTTGCCCGGGACAAGTTTATTTCAGCCCTAGACCTACCCAACTGATATAAAAGCAAGACTAAACCTATTTTTGAGGGGGGAGACGCCACTTTGGAGTAGAGATACACACGTGATCGTGAGGAAGCGAAGAATTCTCAGTTTTCTTCATCTTTTTCTAGTATTTCCAATTGATTCAACACTTATGCAATTGTTTGATTACATCATAAGTGGTTAAACACCCATTGTTCTGGGGTTGTGATTTAGCCATGAATATTGTTGTTTGATATTAGCTTGACCTTGATTATAATTCCATCATATATGGTTGTTTCTTCAATTCTGTGTTGAATTGCTTAATTGTCTGGCCAGCAGTTAGGTTCTATTTACTATCTATGCTATGCTTGGGAAAGTCGTGTTTAGATTAGAGAAGAATTGAAGAGAGCATGATCTTAACCCTTAGGGGAAGCGGATTTGTGGTTAGGATAGGAATATACCTAGTCACCGTGCTTAATTAAATATCGTGATCTTAATGCGTTCTTAATAGATTGATTTCATAGGAATATAGGCGTTAATCTATTGAGAATAGGTGAGTAGTACTTCGGGAGAAGGCTATGAGAGCATTTATCGATTAATTAGCAACCATGAGTGAATTATATGAAAGGGAGAGTTAATTAGAACACAATACGATTGGTGAATCGATCACAACTCTGGAATATTTGTCTCTACTGAATACACAACAATCAACTCGTTACTTGATAACTTAGTTATTATTTAGAATTGTAGTATAATATAATCATATTATTGGACTTTGATTTTAGCTGGATTGAATAACAATTTTAGTGATTTAGTGAGTAGTTTACACAAGTCTCTGTGGGTTCGACACTCAACTTATCATTATATTACTTGTCGACCACGTATACTTGCGTGTGCGTTTGGGAGCAACACGTATATACCGTGCATATACAGTTAGAAAAAAAAATAATTAAAAAAAAATATACTTTTATTGTACGGTAGTAATTCCCAAGAATCCTCTAATCCATCACCAACTTCAAATCTATAGGGCCTACAACGACGTTTTTCTTTTATTACTACTTTATTTATTTTTTTTATTTTTTATTTGGCCTACAAATATGTAAATTTCCACTTTTCTAGACAAAATTCATCCATATTTAAACTAATCAAGAATCCTAAACAAATCTGGTAAAAGAAAAAGAATCCTAAACAAATAGATACTACCTTCACACTATCAAAATAGTGCGTTGACAATCTGCTCTATCCATATATACACACAAAAATCAAACAGATCTCAGCAGAATTATCCTTCCTTTTCTCTTTTCAATTATTTTTCGTAAGGGTATGCTCTTTTTTCTTCTTTTTTTCACTTTGCAATTCTTCAAGCAATTCTTCAATATTGGCTTAACATGTGTAGAGTTTCAAGAATTTAAACAGTCTGTTTCTGGGTGTTTATCTTTTTAATTAGATAATCCTTTTTTAAAAAAAAGTTTTAGCCACTTGTTAATCTGTTTCTTGTTACAATTGAAGTGATATCTTGTTTGATTTGGTCGTATAGTGGAATATATCTGTTTAATTTTGCTAAAATTGGGTTTTTTGGATTTTTAAAGTGTAAAGTTTGGTCCTTTTTAGTTTTAGACGCTTTTTAGTCTGTTTCTTTGTTACAATTGAAGTGATAACTGGTTTAATTTGGTTGTATAGTGGAAAGTTTCTGTTCAATTATGCAAACAATGGGTTTTTGGATTTTTTAAGTGTAAGGTTTGGTTCTTTTTAGTATTAGCCGCTTTTTCATCTGTTTCTTTGTTACAATTGAAGTGATAACTTGTTTGATTTGCTTGTATAGATTAGTGAATTCTTTTGTGTTCAATTTTGCTAAAAAGATGGGTATTTTTGATAATTAAGGTTTGGCTCTTTTTAGTATTAGCCTCTTTTTAATCTGTTTCTTTGTTATATTTGAAGTGGTATCTTATTTGTTTTGGTTGTATATTGGAAAGTTTTTGTTCAATTTTGCTAAAAATGGGTTTTTTTTTTTTGAAATTTTAAAGTGTAAAATTTGTTTTTTTTTTTAGTATTAGCTGCTTTTTAATCTGTTTCTTTGTTATATCTCGTTTGATTTGGTTGTATAGTGGAATGTTTCTGTTAAATTTTGCTTAAAAATGGGTATTTTGGATTTTAAAACTGTAAAATTTGGTTCTTTTTAGTATTAGCCACTTGTTTAACTTGGTTGTAAATTGGGATTTTTCTGTTAATATTGATGAAAAATGGGTGGATTTTGAAATTGTAGGTAGTTGCTGATAGTTTGGAGGTCCAATGGCGATTGGCATGAAGCAGATGTCCATAATAATAGCAACCCTTGGTGTTTTATCCTTTGTATTTGGAGTTATTGCTGAAAACAAGAAGGTTAGTTGATAAAATAAGATATGCGGAACTCTTGTGAATCATCTAAATACCTTGTTATGTCATATTTTTGGAAAAATTTCTCTTAATCTTCTATATTCGATTAATTCTTAGCAAATTAGTATTGAATTGTTTATCCCTTGTTTGAACGAGTTACATTTACGTACCATTAGTGCCAATATACAGTAGTGCGTCCATGTATGCTGGGGTAGGGGACTCAGGTCGGTCCCCAGCAAAAAAGGGCAAAGGCCTAATCTAGTTGGAATTTTTTTTTTTTGAATAACTATGTCACCAGTAGTCAATATTGTTGAGAACACAACTGGTGTTACTAGTAAACTAAAATGAAGAAGCAAACTTAAAACAAGCAATTTTAAGTGATTGGATCGATTCCTTGGCAACCTGATCTGCCATGTTATGATGTCCTCATGTCGGATGAAGCATTGATCATGATACTTCTAGTTTAGCTTAAGTAGTTATTTAATTCAGGAGTGGTAATTGGTTTATACCATAGCAAACTCTTTCTTGACATTGTCAGCATTGCAAAAGAAAATTTCTTTGCTACTGAGTACTCAATTTGTCCCAATTTATGTGACATTATTCGGATTTCGAGAGTAACGAGTTATTCTTTGACTGTAATTTTTTCATATGCCTTTTAGATATTATAAATTGTTAATCATTGTGACTTACAATACTTTGTATGTAGTTTTCGGATATGTAAATTTTATTTCAAAAAACTTAAAGATTTTATGTCTAAATTCACGGTCAAAATTAAGAATTTCGACTCTCAATATCTAAATGATGCCACATAAATTGGGACCGAGGGAGTAATATTTTCCTTTTTAAGGGTCGAGTTCAAAGACGTGCCTTATTCTACTCATGTGATACCCCGTAGACAGGGAGAACTATAGAATCAAAGGTTACATTGTANCAATCTTTTCTTTTTTAAGGGTTGAATTCAAAGACGTGCCTTATTCTACTCATGTGATACCCCGTAGACAGGGAGAACTATAGAATCAAAGGTTACATTGTAATATGGCAGGATATTGCGCTGATGCTTCATGGCTTAAATTACTCTTATTCAAATGACAGAGCAATTAAGACTTTATTAATTGTGGCTAGACATGTAATATATAATGTTCTTGGAGGTTTTTTGTCTACTTTATAACAATCTTATAAAAAGCTAACATGGAACAGTTTCTTGATTTTCTCTTCCCCTATTTGTGGTATGTCAGGCAGTGTGGCGGTTTCCAAGTAATATAACACTTATCTTGTAACTATTTGTAGATACTGAAAAGTATAATGTGCGAAACAAGATGATTCCTCCAAATTTTTTTGTGAGAAGTGTAGACAATTGAGCATCATTGATGAGTCGATGCACAATATAGTGGTTAAGTATCTTGTATGTTTTGTTATTTCGTCCTCCCTTAGTTTGAACTTTTTGGTTATGTTTATTGCAGCCTGCAGCTGGGACTGCAATACCAGGAAAAGGCGTTGTTATTTGTAAATACAAGTCTGACCCTACTGTTGCCTTGGGCTATTTGTCTTTTGCTCTTCTTGTTGCATCTTCTGTGGCCGGTTTCCTGTCGTTATTTTATCCGTATCAAGGGAAGTCAATCCCACAAGCTGCTTTGCTCAAAAACACTAGTTTTGTTGTGTTCCTCAACATCGCATTGTAAGTACTCTTCAACCGGTCATTTGCACTGTTTTTAATCTCTTCATTCATTGACCTTTTTCTTAATCCTAGTTCACTATTCAATAACAACAATAACCCAGTGGATTTCCACACGTGGGATCTGGGGAGAGGTAGGTTGTATGCAGCCTTATCCTTACCCAGGACAGAGAGGCTGTTTTGGATAGACCCTGAGCCTTAATCCTAGTTCACTATTCCCTATATGTCTTATGTTGACTGTTTTTGCCCACGAGTTGGTAAATACATCATTCTTGATCACGTACTTGTTCATTTGATTTTCATTGTCTACAAATAAAAACACTAATAATGTTGTCTGACTGGTATAAAAGTAACAATAATTTTCCTTTTTTATAATAACAACAATTAAAATAATAATTATGATGAAGATGATGTCGATGACAACAAGGATAAGGAAGTTAATATTTAGTCACACAAA